CGCTACCACGCCCGGCTAATTTTTTGATTTACTGTAGAGATGAGGTCTTGCCAAGTTTCCCAGGTGGGTCTCGAACCCAGGGGCTCAGGCAATCCACTCACCTCAGCCTCCCAAAGCACGGGATTACAGGCTGAGCCACCAAGCCCGGCTATGCAGATAGTTTTGAAGGAGGGTAACTGCAAGAAAAAAAGAACTAATATCTCAAAAGCTTAGCTGGTCAGTTTCAGAATACTACATAGCTTCCCCATCCTGTTTTATTATTATTACTATTATTAAACATGCAAAAAAGTTAGCTTTGGTCTTTTCTTGGGAATGAATTCTACATTTCAACAAATTTAACATACGTAATGAATCGTATGTTTCTACTTGCATGTCCAATGAATTGTATGTTTCTACTTGCATGTACACGTTCAAGAATGATGAGTTTACCCTTAAGAGGTCATGAGAAGCTCTGCATATCCACCCAGGTGGACACACAAGGAAGTAGCACTGGTCACAGGAGCCAGAGCTCTGACTGGGGTGAACATGACAGGAAAGAACAAATGCAGTTCCCCACATATGAGAGTGCAGAAAAACCATAACCCTAAAAACCCATTTCTTGGATTATATAATTTTGTTATTTCTGGGTAGAAGAACTCTCGCTGACTTTTTCTTCAAGTACTTGTGAAAAATAACACAGGGCCCAAAAAAGTGACAACGATTAATGTGGCTCTACTGAGAAGTGGTTCATTTTCATTGCTTGGGTGAAACAATTTAATTTCTGGAAATGGATCAAGCAACTGTTACTAAGTATCTTATCTTAAACTCTTAATAAAAATAATGACTATTAAAAAAAACATACTTTATGGCTACAGCTGCTGAGTGGTGGGTGAAAATCCTCTTCTTCCACATACTTCCTCTTAAAGTATGTGATCTTGGATGTTGTTATAGGATTTGAAATTCCCCTGTAATGTGATCCTGTGGTAATAAATCAGATATGACAAATGACATGCGGTTTGCCAGAGGTTCTCCAAACAAAATACTTTCGTTTCCTTTCCTTCTAGAGGATAACTTAGCTATGTATTTGTCTGTACATGTGGTGATTAAAAATAAACATTTGTCTTAATAGTTGCTATCACATAATAGCCTGTGAATCAGGCTCGGCAAAGATTTCTAGGCAATTATAGAGAAAAATGACATATTTCAGCATTTACTAAATACCCAGAATCTTAATTCTATGCACAGGCAAACAGCAAAATTCATAAAGGGGAGGAGTGTCATTATGCTGAAATATATTAGTATTTATCCAGACTGTTTAATTACATCCATGATAGCATAACACCACTGTTCAAATATATACATCTTTAACTGTAACCACTGGTTACCAAACAACTTTAAAATATTATTGGTTCTAGATTAGTAGACAAATGGATATCTGCACACTAGGATTATAGTATTCTTTCTTTCAAAATGCAAATTAAAAAAATTTCAAAATTAAAATTAAAATTTTGGGTAATAAACATCCTTTTCACTCTCAAAAACGTAATGCGTCAACCACGAATAAAAGTAGGGTCTGATTTTTAAAGAGCACAGTTTTTAATCCCTTTTAGCAAAACAGACTGCATTAAGTACTTGTTTTATATTTTAGTTTCTTTTTAAAAAGAGCTCACACTACACAAAAGTCCAAAGGAACTTATCTTAGACTATAAGAAGAAAGAACCAGGAAGAACACATTTTTATTTTCTTGGCTTTAAACATTTTTTTCCTACAATACCAAAGCCAATTGTGTGCTTAATAAAGAGAAGAGGCACATAGCTGCTGGCCCAAAGTGCAGATTCCTTTATGTCTCATGGGATAAAGATTTCATTGTCGAGCCCACCAGGGCTTTCGTAGCTCTGAGGGAACCATACAGTCTCACAGGGTAGAAAATCAAAACCCAAACTCAGTTCTAATATCTGGTTCGGTCCTCTTAAAAATATAGATACATGACCTGTATGCAAGCAGCAGCACAGGTAGACGCAGGTTGGAATGTAATTTAAACATCACCTCTGGTTCTCTCCCTGGAGCCCGGGACTCGCTTGTAAGAAGCACAGGCAGCCCTTAGAGTCCCTGGAGCTTTAGCTTTCTTGGCTCAGAAGGGCTCCCCAGACACCACCTCCCATCGGCCAGTCTGGCTGCAGAGGGCAGCAGGGGAAGGTCAAGGGCAATACCTGTCAGCGGGGGCCCAGCTCCCCGGTCTCCCTGCAAAGGAGCCTGTGCTGGCCCTGGGGGGCTTGGGCCTCCATAGCTGTCGGCCTCCCATAGTGTTTGGTACCCGGCAATTTCAGCAGCTCCTTCTGAGACAATGGGCTCGCAGAATCTATTCATGGACAGAACCAGAGTCATCTCTGACAGCCTTAGATCTGAAAAAAAAGAGAAAAGAATAAAGAAAACAGCTCTCATCAAGAGCAAGCTAGGGGATAGATAGCCTTTATTCTTTTGCTTTGGGAAACTTTTACTTCTTGGCCCTCCCCTTCATCCTGAAACATTTTATTATTTCTCCAAAGAAAACCTCAGCAAACTCTGTTGCTGCTATTAGCTCAGCCTCTGTGTTCAGCAATCTGCATTTCATGGGCGGATCTTTAAAACCCCATTTCTTATTGTTCTCAGATTCCCCTCAGCACTCTTCCAGACAGCTGCTTTGCCTCCTAAACACATTTTCCTCCTGACCTTCCCGCAGAAAATGTACCGCTAAGAAGCCAAAACCCTTGCGCTTCCTTTCTATTAATAAGGCAAAAATCAATTTTCTAGTCAATCCCCTGGGAGTCTCCTTTGATGAAATCCACTAATCAATCAAAAGAAAAGGGCGGGGGAGGCAGAAATCTCCACCGTCATTCCAACGATGCTGTGAGGTTCAGTCTGTTCTGCTGCCCCCTGCACCCTCCTCCTCTCGTTTCCGCAGGCCAGTTCCTCTACAACATTCTGGGGCTCCCTCCACTTTCTTCTCCCAAAGCAAAGCAGACAGAGAGACACTTGGTAGTTGTTTCCACCAGCCCTGATCGGCCTGAACTGGATCTGCCTCCAGTCAAAACACTGCTAGATGAAGACAGAAAATTGGCTCCAGTTTCAAGCCGTGAGTTGCAGTCCCACAGGAGCCAAGCACAACATCAACGGAGCAGGCAGAATATTAAACAGGAGCCAGGGCTTCGGGGCCAGAGGCAGCCAACAACTCTTTACACTGCAAAGCCTAGACACAAGGCAGGAACTTTCCAAGAGGCAACACATCACTGCCCTTCTCTCCAGTTTGCTCCCTTCCCTCAGGGCCTGCCTACAGGGGAGATGCTTCCTGGGACCCTCCCATAGCTCAGGCAGTGGGGCCACTTTCAGTGTTTTCGCTTGGTCCTGTGCAAGGCTCAAGGTGGGGTCAAGAGTAAGTTCAAGGGAGAAGAGAATCTGATATGAAAGTTAAAAGACTTAGGGGCTGTAGGCCAGTGGTGACAGCAGAGCAGCCTCAGTGCCTTGATCACTGCCAAGTCCTTTAGGAGACCCAAACCTCTACTATTTCACTTTGTGGTTTAAAGAACTGTCACAGAAGTGATGTGAGGCTTGCTTTCCGAAGACTGATTGTCTTTCATATATGCACTAGGGGTCTGGTTCTTGCCTTCATTTCCAAATTATATAGTTTGTAATGTTTGGGGGAAAAGGTGAATCTATCATTGTCTCGAGGGAGACTATTATTACCTACATGCTGTACAAGAGTCCACTTCCAGGTAAAAGGAGGAAAAACACCAGGGTAAGCTAAATAGCTTCATTAAAGTGACAATACCCTTCTGGCTAACAGAGCAGCTCTTGGCAGCAATGACCCCACCTTTCACCCAGTCTTCTCTCTGAGGTCTCAAATTCTGTCTCAACAACACTGAATAATGAAGCAAGACCTTTTGACAGACAGGAAAGGTGTATAGGTCAGTGGGTGAAATTGGGACCCAGATGATTTGGGCTGTTAAACTATCTCCCTCTTCTCTTTTAAGTTGCCCTCCAAAGAGGACTTCTTAGAAAACCTTATTAAGAGAGAGAGAGAGAGAGAGAGAGAAAGTGATTCACTTAATTCCCTATTAAAAAATAATGGGACATGCCATTTATTTTTCTCTTTGAATCATCAGCCAAGAAATTTTGCCTACATTGATTTAACAAACTAAGCCACTCTGTATTTCATACCTCAAACTCTGAATCCAAGCAAGGTATCAAACTCCTTAATTATTTATTCCCTGGAAGACTCATGAAATGGTTCGGTTTCTTAACCCATTCTAAGAGTCAGTGGTATCAGGAAGTGTTATTGCCAGGAGTACACGAAGTACATCTTTTAAACAGTCAGTAGCCCTTTCTTATTGAGGGAAGCAACATTTTTCAGCTTGAAATTTATACTCACTTTTGTATTGGATTCTGGGAATAAGATCCCAGCCATTAGCATGTGTAGACTTTTATTATAAATAAACAAAAGCAGGTTGACAAACTCATGTTCTTTAAGAAATAGAAGCATTTGCAGGCCCCTAGCACCAATTATCTTTGTTTAATAGGACATTATATGGGCCCTGTACTGTTTTATGTTAGTCAGACTTTGTTTATATTTTAATGACTTTTTGGTAGAAGCTTTTTTTGGTTAGTAAGGATTTCAGTGTTTCTATTTGTTAGTATTGTTTCTAACACATAGAATTCTATCATTATGTATTTGAACTTGAAACATGGCATCATAGTTTTTTATCTTGGCTGGTCTTTTTGTTTACAATATCTAATTTCAGTAAGTTTTTCCTTTTTAAATTGGAAACCGTTATGCACAAAATCCTGAACTAGGAAGGTTGAGTTCTACAAGTGATTTATGTAAGTCTGAATAAAACATGAATGAGTTAGGATTATTTGAGAGCAGGGAGGAGATTTTGCAATGAGTCTTCCTAGTCTTTTAGAACTTACACTGGGATGTTAACACATTAAGAAGGCAAGTTGAATGTTCATGAAATATTGGACTGTGCAGAGTTAAGCATTGATATTTAACGTGAACCTTTATTTGTATTATATGTAGAGATCCAAACTGTCATAATTATTTGTATGATGAGACATACATTATAATTCTGCTACTGAATACAGCAGTTCAAGTCCAGAAATTCATGTGCTGTTAATATTAAATATAGACAAAGATTATGACAAAATTTGTTTGCTTTTAGCATCAGAAGTGAGTGGATTCAAAAGGAGGATGTTAAAATGTGTTTTGTCTCTGCATAGGTTTAAACATACAAAAAAATTTAAAAAGCCCTAACCCTTTATCCTCAGGCTCCTGCACATCTGTTTTGTTGCCCAAGTGGATGTAGTGGAATGACATATCAAGCATCCCCAGAAGGCTGAGGATTAAAATGCCAAGCTTTCTCCAGCAAATGTTCGTGGTAAAGTTACCAGGCATTTCTATACAATTTGGTTTTTCCAGATGAGTTGGGCTTGTTCTTTCCTCGGAGCCATTATGATGCTAATAAGAGTGACTGGCTCCCAAAAGAGGGTAGCTGTGAATTCAGTGGCACCTTGAATCTAACAGGGGGCTCCAGGACATTATTTGCCCACCTCTCCTCCCATCTGTCACTAGAAACTGGGAACATTTTATCAAGAGTTATTACAGCAGTTAGAAGTCTGATTTGAACACTGGAAAGCACAGAAGTAAAGGGCTGATCTTTCTAGTGCACCATGGAGGCTGCCAAGCTTAAAAGTCCTGCCCAGGTGATATCAAGTCCCTGACCTCCACACTGTCCCTTACAAGATCTCAACAGCTTGTCCAGCTCGTGGTGGTGGAAGGGACTGGATGGGCGGAACAAAACCCTCCAATCCTTCTAAACAGACAGATGTCGCTTTTCTGCCGGTCGCTGCAGTACACCTGTCTGCCCTGGCAAGTACATTTCTCAGCTGCAGCCCCGCAAGGCCAAGAGCTTTCGGCTAGGTCCTGGGGCTGGGGATGCGGGTGCTGGGCTTAAGGAGCACGAAAGCGCGCCTGGGTGTCCAAGCCCCAGTGTCGGCTCTCTCCAGCTCATGTCCAAGGAGGGGGGTCCTGAGGTTTGGAGGGCCGATCTCCTGCAGGGGGGCTGCAGCCACCACGTCCTGGCTCCCTCACAGACACACCCCGGGGGTCGGTCGGTGCCGCAACCCCCAGCCCCTCTCCGGGGTAGCTAGCAGCGCCCGGTCGGCCGCCGGCAGCAGGAGAAAGTAAACAACACCCCAAGTGTCCGGGAACAAAGGCAAGTTGTCTTTCCACGGAGCCGTATGCCTCTTCTGAAGAATAAGAGCTATTATTATTCTTTATGTCTTATCCTTTTTTTTTTTTTTTTAAACCAAGTTTCCTTCTAAGGGAAATAAACACCAAAGGTAGGATTCCAAGGAAATGACTCACGGCGGTTGGCAGGGCTCTGGCGAGGCTGGCCCGAGCCCCGCGCTACAGCCCGCAGCAGATGCCCGCCCGGCCCTCCCTCCCTCGCCCGCCAGACCCGCTGGAAGCCCGCGGCTACCGGAGCGCCCTGTGCGCGCTGAGACCCGGCGGTGGGGACGCCCCCCCCGGCCTCGCAGCCGCCTCTCCCTCCCTCTCTGCTTCTGCGGCCGCAGCCGGGCACTCGGGAAAGTTGCTGGGGCCGAAGAGGCGGGCGGGGAGGAAGGGAGGAGAGAGGCAGAGGCGTGGACCAGGCGGGCAGCAGCCTCAGCCCGCCGGGGAGGTGAGCTGAGGACAGAGGAGCCGCCGCCGCCCGCAGCGCGGCTCGGCTGCTTGGGAGGAGGGTGCGGGGGCGGAGGTGGCGGGGGACAGAAGGTGTCAGCTCCTGCATTTATTCCTTTTTCTCGCAAACGCGCGCTCCTGACAGCCACAATCCCTCCCTCCCGACCTGCCGAGCGCCAAGCGTCCAGACCTGGGGGCATCCCTCCTACTGACCCCTCTCCCCTGGGATGAGGGATTAAGAGGCCACCGAAGAGCCTGAGGTCTCGCCAGAGGTGCTGACCCCAACCGCCCCCGGAATGGGCTCGGTGCGCGCGGGTGGCAACCCGAGCAGCCCTAGAGCAGGCGGAGGTTCCCGCCCTGGTGAAGGCGCCGCTGCGCGCGCCAGCCGGGGGAAAAGCCCGCGCCGCCTCCGCGCCCAGCTGCACCCCGGCCCCCACGCCGCCCGGCCCCCATCGGCCGCCGCGAGTCCACCCGGTGACCCCGGCGCGCCCCTGGTGCCGGGAGGGCACGCGGGAGGCCGAGCGAAGGCCGCCCCCAACTCAATAAAGAATTGGATTAATAATAATAAAATGACTGATAGGAAATAAAATATTACTGGTGGATGCCTCTGATAAGCTTATGAACAATATTCTTCTATTTTTCTGAACTTAATAAATTATCTATAGTTAGCACGTACTTTTTTGAAGTGAGAAGAAAATTTAATTGGTCTTCTAATGAGACACATATATTATACTATGCTATGAGTTCTATAA